AACCCTAACCCTAACCCTAACCCTAACCCTAACCCTAACCCTAAAGCAAACCCCTAAACCTAATCCTAACCCTTACCTTAATTTAAATCAGCTTTCTGCCGCCGCACTGTTTTAAAGCGCCCTTCTGTCTCCGCGCTGTTATCGCGGCGGTGATGACGCGCAGTGATGACGTTGCAGCTTTAGCGACGCGGTTTTATCACCGCTATTTTGACGAGCGCGGTTTTGTCGTGCCACGCACTACAGCATCCTGTCACCTGATCACTATTTGTATGCTTCATAACCAACTTGTAATGAGCAGTTAATACAGAAGGCAGAAATAAAACCATACAAGATCACAATTTTGCACTTAGCAAACACTGTTTAGCAAACCCTAACCTAGCTCTTAACATCCCTAACCCTTAACTCTAAGTTGTAAGTCTATTATAGTCATGTGATTTTGTGAGCAAGAGTTGTTGGTCCTAATTGTTGCTAATCAAGGACTAACTGTATACATTATGAAACAATGGAAATGTTAAATGGAAGCCATCTATTATCAGTAATTGAAAAGCTTTGGTATCACAGAATTTTCAGGGCATGAATCTCTAATGTTAATCTGCATTTCTTAACCCTTTTTTTCTTTCCCTCATTTCTTTGTGTATTTATTTAACAAAACCAAATCGGGTGGTAAAACAACATGTGGGAACATTCTTAATATCTGAATATTTCTTGATATCTGAACATTCCGTTTGAGTGAAGGGACTATGGGTCCAATAAAACTTTTTATTTTGGAAGAAACAGAGATTTCCCTCAAGTAGCACACAAGATTTCTCTCTTTTCTTTACTCAACTAAAGGAAACCTAAAAAGAACTGAAGATGAAATCGGTTTATATAGGGTTATGCAAATAAAAATATACATATGATTAACCAACATGATTTAAACATATATGTGAATGGTTCATGTGATGGGTGCATATATGGGGCAGTTTTTAATGTAGTAACAGTGTAGAACTAGAAAAATGGTGATGTATTGACAAGAATATTTTAGTAAATAGTTCTTTTCTAAAGAATTGTTTTTGGGACCTTATCTTATATTGGCTTTGTTTCCCAAAGCCTTTGCTTGCCTCCCAGTATCTTTTCTGAGATTTATCAACATTGCTTGGCCTTCTAAGTTCTTTTATCAGTGAGCTGACATGGCCTATTGTTTGGGAAGGTAATTTAGGGAGAGTAATGTTTTGCTTATCCTAACCAACAGCCATGTTTTCTCCTACATTATGCATAATGATTCTTATGCATAACGTAGCATGACAAAAGAAAATGAACAAGGGGCATACAGTTTAGTATATTATAAGAATAAGGAAAATGGGCTAGTTGATTCTCAAATTTTCTCCAAAAAGATTTATTTAGGCCTAAGAGACCTTAATTTTTCTGTAGCTAGAATAATTTCCATAATTACCCCTTTCAAAAACAAATAGCAGAGAATTCAATTCCTCTTCCTTCCCTGGTAAGATCTTATTTATCTACCAGATCACTAGGAAATCCAAACAACCCTATAGTAATTAACCAAGATCTGTAAGATGCTTAGGACAGACCATCTTAATTGGTCCTTCCACCAATGGAGGTCTTAGGTTGCAACCATGTCAAAGTACTCAAAATAATAATTTCACGTTTCAGATCACACAGCATCTGCACAGGTAACATTTACCTGCGTGTGTGTCAGGCTTGCAAGTACCTGAAACAAACTCAATGTTACGCAATGCAACAACTTCTAAGTGTTTTCAGATCCATCTCCGCAACTAGTCCCCAGGCACTGAAGTGCAATCCTCCAATAGTAAAAGTTGGGGAGTCAACAAAACCCATCAAGAACCAAGGTCCATGACCTCAGGAATGGATCTTGCAGGCAGTAGGTGAACAGCATATGAGAAAAAAATCCTCAATTTGTCTCCACACGCTAACTTCATTTATAGGAACTCACAGTCCATCACTTGAAGTGTACAACCCATTTATAGGCTTTTTTTTTAAAGATTACCTCTCCTCAGCTCTCTGACATAGTGGCTGCTGTTTGACCTGAATCTTAGAATAGCAAATCTCTGTGGGCCACACTTTTGTCCAATTTCAACTACATTTCAATAATATATAAAATAGGTTTATCTGCAAATAAACATTGTCATGTAAAATATAGCAACTGTGATGGAATTGTTTCATAGGAAGAACTTGCTTCCACAAAGCCAACAATTATTTTATACAATCCAAATCCAATTCTACACCACCACCACCCAAAGCATTTTATAATTATGGAATTAAACATAAAATACAGTGAACCGCCACACGTAGTGAGTCCTCCTGGATAAATAAGTTCCATTTAACTTGGGGACGTGTGCCTTTACCGGCGCCATTACTGGTACTAACTTTTCCTCAGCGCCTCTGTTGAAATGGGATCCTTGAAGCGTCAGCCTGAGGTGTTTTTACTCTGTTCAAGATGAATTCTTGTGGAACGCCAAAGCTTTAGGGAAACCGTGACATCACCACCACCACTCCCCATTAAGCTAGAACCAGAGGAGAGATGGGCTATTTTGAGGGTTCAGGCCTGGGCAAAGATCGCAGACCCTCTACGTTTTTTGATTTCCTCATGGGATTAAAATTGGGTTCAATGACTTGAGTTAGTCCCGGATTGCTACCTTAGCTTTGAGGCAGCGTCCCCACTGCTTCTTCCTGGTGAACTCGCGTAAAAAAGGCCGCTTCGCAAAAGGGAGTTTAACGTGGCACGAGAGGAACCCTGGATAAATGGGCATGATTTGCCTTATACGGCTGTACGGTATTCCTAAACGTGCTTATTAGGGAGGAGCTCCCACCGAAATGAGTAAAAGGCCTGTCTCTAAATAAACGCGTCCGTATCCGGCTGCCGAAAGGCCTCACTTGCCCTTTTTCCACCATCAAAAAACAGCTCCCCTCCTCCCCAAGGGAGGCAAAGATCTTCTGGGAGAAGCCGCGGCTGAGCAAAGGGGGTGGGGGTGGAGGGAAAAAAGGAGGGAGGAAGAAGTAGCGGGTGAATATTTCATTGGACGGCCGCCCAAGTCTAGCTCCGCCCTCTTTTAACTCAGAGCTGCTCTCCGAGACGAAGCCGACCCCGCGAACAGAAAGCCAGTAAAAATCGGTTGCTGGGCAAGGTGGGGCGTAGCTGGCCAATAGCGAGGAGAGCTCGAGAAGGACGAGGAAGAGTGGGCGTGCAGGCGCCCCTCCTTCCTCTGAGTCCAGGGCTATTCCTGCACGGGGGAGGAGCAACGGCTCTTGTTGTCGCCGAGATCTGGCGGGGAGGGGGTGGGGCTCATTTGCTGCTGCCACCGCCCTCTCCTCCTCCTCCTCCTCTTCCCCCCCCCCCGCGCTCGTCTCCTCCTTCCTCATCTCAGCACGCAAGCATTCGGCCATCCCAGCCCCTCTAAGGGATCCCGGCTGGCTGGGTTGGGAGCCAGCGCTGCGCCGCGCCGCCCAGCCGAGGGAGAGGGGATCCCGTGTGTCCCTCGACTCTCTCTGGAGCCCTAACAGCAGCCTGGCTGGCTGGCTGAACTCAGGTCTGGATCGCGGGGTCGATGGACACGGGGACAAGGTGTCCGGAAAGGTGCTCCGGGAAGCCAAGTGCGGGCTGATCGCGGCAGCGCAGGGCGAGGAAAGAGCTAAATTGAGAGGTGGAGGTCAGGAGTTACAACTAAAAAGAGACCTGCATTTTGGGTATCTCGGGGAGTTGGTAAGGAAATAGAGGCTGGCGAATGTGGCGGGGGAAACTTATGATTGGGGATGTCTCGGCCAGAAAAACTAAAAAATTAGGGGCCTGGGAGGGGCACCTTACAAACGATGGTGTGAATCGTCTGGGAGAAGCTTGCTTGGGTAAAGGAAATAACTACGTTGAGCCAGTCGTCGTCATACACAGGCACTGTGAGGTGAAGTAATTCCCCCCCCCCAAAAAAAAACATTTTTTAGATGTTTGGAATGATAATTGCCATCTTTTTGGTTGCGATAATAGGGGTTGCAGATCACATTTGGAGGGCTCAGATTTGGGGAAGGAACTACAGTTATATAAGAAAGACTGGAAGAGAATGATGGATAAGAGGAAGATGATGGTGTGTATCAGGCTGAGATTCACAAAAGCTGCCAATAAGAGGAAATTAGGGGGCTTGGGGGTGGTGGTCAAAGAGTCTGCTGCTAAAAGAGGAGAAAAAACCAAGTAAAATTAGTGGGAGGAATTGAGGAGCCCACTGAACGAATGGGGAGGAAGAAACTGCTGGTGTTCTGGGTGGTATTTGAAACAATTTTGTGGCAGGCTTGTGGGGCTGAATGAAGGCTTTAGGAAAAGTGGGTGGGGCGTGAATGGAGTAGGTTTATTTGACTGAAAACAGTAGAGAATCAACTGAGGTTTGTTTCTGAAGAGGGGTGCTCTGGTTTAGCTAGTTAGGGTCATATATAAAAGGTATATAGAAAATATATGTTACTTTTGAGGCCATTTTTTTCAACCAATGAGTATTAGGAATACAGTATGAAGGAAGGGGTGTGTATGGAAGTGGAATCTAGCAATCAGGGAGGGGTACTTTACAAATGTTCTGTTGCAATATTTGAAGAGGTGAATCTTGACAAAGAGATTGGGTTTAGATAGCATATTTTCAGGAAACACTCTTTTCTTGGTGGGATATTGTAATATAATGAATAAAAACTTTGGGATTGTAGAATAGGTTTAGAGTATTGTTTTTGGAAACATTTATATAAGGTAGCTGAATAAGATCCCATGTAAATTGAAGATTGATTAAAACGGAAAAAGTTAATGCCAGGAAATAAATTTAGGGCTGTTTAAAAGGTATGGGGTCTCCAAGTGAGCTTTTAACCAGAGAATTATAACTGGTATTCTCTGATGGTCTCCATCCAAGTATTAACCTGACCACACCCAACATAACTTCCAAACTTATGCAAGGTTGGCCAACTAAGAATAAAGTTGTATTCAGGTTATTTGAAACATCCTACTGGTTTCTTTGTGGGTGAATGATAAAATACTAATGTTCTTATTATTCTTGTTTGTTCTTTTTATTTTGGAGGTGGCTGCTTTAAATTCTGCTTTTGACAGAAAATTGAATTTTAAAGAAATACGCAAAATATGCAAACAGTTTCTATCTATTTGAGCATTTAGGAATAAATATTTTTGTTGCTCTGAAGAAGTGATCACACAAATGGGGATTCTGGGATGCTTTTGGGGTTATGGATGTTCACAGTTCATGAGATCTGTATCTTAAAATGAAGGCTATAATGACTATGTAAAAACAACTGATTAAAAATCTAGTTAATACTGCATATTTGAAGAGAAAATAATTGCATTTAAAAGTAGAAGTGCAGTACTGTAAGATACATTAAATTTGTGTGGGGCTTATTAAAAGAAATTGTGGGAGGATTAGGCACAGAATAGAAGCTGAATGGCTAGAAAGCAGACGTGGAAATTATTTGAGACTTAGAACATCGGTGGCATATGAATGAAAAAACATTGAAGTGCTCCTCAAGAATGGTCAGATCGGAGATAGAAAATATCAATAGGAAAAAGTTATTGGGTTAAGGTTAGGATAAAGAGATTCATCTTTTGCTGGAAACTATCTTGTGATTAACTTTAAAGTGGGCCTATCTATGGTATGGACTGAAATAAAACTGTAACTATATAATTGGATGAAAAATTTGGGAAGAAGCTTGCTATCAACAGAAATTTTAAGGAGATATTTTTTCATTTAAGAAATGAAGTAGTTTGAATAGGTTTGCAAATTTGTTGGTACACAGGTGTAGTTTTATCCTTAGGAGAAGAATTGTAATGAGGTTGTCTGTTTTGTTTTAAATAGTTCTCAGTCTGGAGTGAGAGGTTATTTTTCATCATCCAGAAAATAAGAGTCCTGTAAACTAAATCTTGATATTGTGGGAGGTGCATGCAACAGCTTCCAAGAACTTCTAGTTTCATTTTGAATACACTACCCCTTGTGTCTTAACTCTTAATAGAAAATGAAACGCAGAAAGAGGACAATTTCTCACTGCTTTGGTTCCTTATTTCAACAGTTAGAAACACTTCATTAATGCTAAGTTTAAAATAATGTATTAAGGGATACACTACTTTAAATTTGTTACATTTCTTTAAATTATTGAGTTTTCTACAATAAGCAATACTATCTGAAATTAATCATTTATATTCTTTGTCTATTTGCTGGTAGTCAACATTACAGGCAATTTCTAAAAGCAGACACATATTTCTCTCCTGTAGTATTTGTTTTACTCGTAGGTGTTATACCTGATAAAAAAATAGATTCCAAATTAAAGACTAAAAAAAGTAAAGCAGAGAATAATAAAATTTGAAAATATGGCCTATGTAACTCATAGCATCTTATGCAGTACAGTACAGAATTTTGCCTTGTCTGAGTCTTCCTATATTTGTGGAGTGGAGAATACTTCAGTGCTACATTTTTATTTTGGCCTCACTATGGTTTGGTAGAAGGGTATGCATGATGCCTAAGTGTGAGATTTTATACACTTAAAACAGTGGTGGGTTTCAAAAATTTTAGAACCTATTCTGTAGGTTGACCTGTTTTGTGGGAGTGGCTCGGCAGTCATGTGACCAAGTGGGCGTGACCAACTTGGAAAATGTGGTGAAACTCAATGATGCTCTTGCTTAGCAATCAAAATTTGGGCTCAATTGTGGTCATAAGTTTTCTTTCTTTTTTCTTTCATCTCTCTCTCTCCCACTTTCTTTTTCTTTCTTTTCTTTCTCTTATTCTTAATGTCCCTAGGCTTTGAGCAAGCAAAGCAAGTAGTAATTAATAGAATGAGGGACATGGAGTTCCAAGAAGAACTAAATAGGTTGCCTCTCCACAGTAGGGACAGAATCAAACAGGGTGTGTGGGAATCGGCAAGGTATCTAAATGACCTGATCTCCCCAAAACAAAGAATAGCTTTCTTCAGAGCCAGATTTAACATTCTTCCTCCAGCACTCCTCCAGGGCAGGTATAAGAGAACACCTATAGCAGAATGCATTTGTATATGTGATAAAGGAAAGTGGAAGATAATTCACATGTTGTATTACACTGCGAGCTATACAGAGCTTGTAGGTCTGCACATATTCTCCCCTTATTAGAGAGATTGCCAGGGAGGGCAGACCATTTTTATCTAGGCTTTCTCCTCCAGGACACTAACCCAGTTACCACGTATGCAGTGGCAAAGTTCTGTGCTGATGCAATGTCCATAAGAAAAAAATTGGCTACAGAAGTATAGTACCATCTTGTACCAATTATCTGGACATACCTTTAACAATCTTTGGACCATTATGTTATTATCCACTTTTAATGTCAATACTTTTAAATTATATTTTAATGTTAGTATTTTTTAACATAGTGTAAAAACTAATGTATATTGCTGGTCTTTGACTGTAATAAAGATTACTTACTTACTTTTCTTTCTTTCTTTCTCTCTCTCTTTCTCTCCTTCTCTTTCTGTCACTTTCTGTCTCTGTGTGTGTCTGTCTGTCTGTCATTCTCTCTGTGTGTCTGTCTGTCTCTCTCTCTGTATCTGTCTCTCTCTCCTCCCTCTCCCATCTGTCACTCTGTGTGTGTCTGTCTGTCTCTCACTCTGTGTGTGTGTGTGTCTGTCTGTCTGTCTGTCTCTGTCTCCCTCCCTATCTCACTGTGTGTATCTCTGTCTCAGGCAGAGAAAGAAAGGAGGCTTGGGATAAAGCACCCCTGCCACCAAGGGCAAAGGGGAGCACCTTCACCCTCGACTATTGCATGCCTTCTTTCTCCACTCACCCGAACTAGCAAAGGCGGGCCACTAAACTGCCCGCTCGGCCGGATTCAAACTAGCCCGCATCCTCTCTTTCAGCATGGGCTCTCTGGAGGGGGATGGAAGGTCTCTCCCAAGACCTGCTTCCCTTATCTCGCGGCACAGTTCTGGGACACGTTTGGGCAATGGAGGGGCTTTCTCGCACGCCATTGGAGAAAGAAATAAGGTGTGTGAGAAAACCCCATCCCCACTGTCCGAACTTTTGAATGAAGGAGGCTGCAGGCTCCTTTGCCCTCGGCTATGCAATCTCCTTTCATTCTCTGCTGCCCGAACGAGTGAATGAGGCAGACGGAGAATGAAAGGAGATCGCGTCAGGCGGGGGGAGCGAGCCAAGCGTTCCAGTACTATGCCACCAGAGGAACAGGTTCTAAACGGCACGGTAGATTTGTGGAACCTCTTCTACCGAACCGGCAGGAACCCAATCCTGATTTAAAAGCATATCAAGTTAATCTGAGACTTTCAACTATGCTATTAGGGCTATTTTCAGTTGCAACTCTCCTTATGTGTGATGAATAGCAGTGGTGGTAGTTATCTAGTAGGGAACATTGATATATAATTATTTGCTATGCTGTATATAACCCAAGGTTAAAAAATCAGGTGTGATGCAGTTTTACTACTTGGTTGCTGCTGTCATTAAGCAAATCCAGGTTCCTCCATTTATTTGCTTGTTGGTAGCTCCCTAGGAATGTGATAAATGGTGATCACATGAGCCTGAGTCACTGCTCAGGCTCATGTGAGCCTGAGCAGTAGTCACTATAAATACATGCTGGTTGCCAACCACCCACATTTTAATCATATGACTGCAGTGACACTGTGATGGTTGTAAGTGTGAGGACTGGTCAAATGTCACATATTTCAGCACTATTAAACCTTCAAATGGTGTTAAATGTTCCATCATAG